ATCACGCACTCAAAAAGAAACGTTATCTAACCGCAATGCCAGAGAGAGAGAGAGAGAGAGAGAGAGAGAGAGAGAGAGAGAGAGAGAGAGAGAGAGAGAGAGAGAGAGAGAGAGAGAGAGAGAGAGAGAGAGCAGAAATGACCATTCAGAACATCGATCATCACATACTCATTAAAGAAAACACCATTTCAAACCACAATCATCCAACCAAAACAAACGAGCAAACAAGAAAAGAACAACAACAAAAACAAAAACAAAAAACAGGACAGAAGTAAAACAACGTACTTTGCCGAAGAAAACATCAAACATATCGTGAAACTCTTAAAAAAGAAGAAAAGAAAAGAAAGAGAAAAGGGGGAGAGAAGAAAGAAAGAAAGAAAAGAAAAGAAAAGAAAAGAAAAGAAAAAGAAAATGCTAAGAGAGAAAAGAAAAAGAAAAGAGAGAGAGAGAGAAAAGAAAAAGAAAAGAGAAAGAGAGAAGAGAAAAAAGAAAAGAGAGAGAGAGAGAGAAAAGAAAGAAAAAAAAAGAAAAGAAAGAGACAGAAAGAGAAAAGAAAGAAAAAAAAGAAAGGAAAAAAAGAAAAAAAAGAAAAAAAGTAAAGAAAAGAAAACAAGCAAAACAAACAAACAAACAAAAACCAATCATCATAAATATAAAAGGGGAAAAAAGACAACCCTACCTGGCCGTCGAAAACATCGAAGTCAGCGTCAGAATGGTAGTGACGCAGAGAACGACACGCCCGGGAACGACCAGCGGCGGCACGGCGAAGCTGAACCACGACATCATCACGAACAGAGAGCCTGGGACGAGGGGAAGGGGGGGAGGGGGTTAGGTGGGGAGGGAAGAAGGGATGGGAGGAGTGGAAGAAAGGGAGAAAGAAGGAATGGAGGAGAGGGAGAAGGGATAGTAGGGAAGGAAGGGTGGAAGAAGGAAGGGAGGAAGAAAGGAGGGATGGTAAAGAGGAAGGAAGGGAGGAAGGAAGGAAGGGAGGGAGGGAGGGAAGAAGGAAGGGAGGAAGGAAGGGAGGAAAGAAGGAAGGAAGGGAGGAAGGAAGGAAGGGAGGAAGGAAGGGAGGAAGGAAGGGAGGAAGGAAGGGAGGAAGGAAGGGAGGAAGGGAGGAAGGAAGGGAGGAAGAAAGGAGGGATGGTAGAGAGGAAGGAAGGAAGGAAGGGAGGAAGGGAGGGAGGAAGGGAGGAAGGGAGGAAGGAAGGGAAGAAGGGAGGAAGGAAGGGAGGAAGGGAGGAAGGAAGGGAGGAAGAAAGGAGGGATGGTAGAGAGGAAGGAAGGAAGGAAGGGAGGAAGGGAGGGAGGAAGGGAGGAAGGGAGGAAGGAAGGGAGGAAGGAAGAAGGACGGGAGGAAGGAAGGAAGGAAGGAAGGAAGGGAGGAAGGCGTCATCACGAACAGAGAGCCTGGGACGAGGGGTTAGGTGGGGAGGGAAGAAGGGAGGGAGGAGTGGAAGAAAGGGAGAAAGAAGGAATGGAGGAGAGGGAGGAGGGATGGTAGGGAGGAAGGGAGGGAGGGAGGAAGGGAGGAAGAAAGGGAGGAAGGAAGGAAGGAAGGGAGGAAGGAAGAAGGAAGGGAGGAAAGAAGGGAGGAAGGGAGGAAGGAAGGAAAGGTGGAAGGAAGGAAGGGAGGAAGGAAGAAAGCAAGGATGGAATCAAGGAAGGAGAAGAAGGAAGGAAGGAAAGAGGAAAGGAAGGAAGGTGTTATCACGAACAGAGAACCTGGGACGAGGGGGGGGGGGTGTATGTGGGAAGGAAAAAAGGATAGAGGAATGAAAGATAGGAGGAGAGGAAGGGAGGAAGGATGGAAGGAAGGAAAGGAGGAAGGAAGAAAAGAAGGAAGGAAGGGGGCACTAGGTGAGAAGAAAGAAAGAATAAAGGAAAGAGAGAAAGGAAGAGAGGAAGGAAGGAAAAGAAGAAATTAACAATTATATAAGAAAGAAAAAAAAGATGGACGAAAAACAAACAAACAGAAGGATGAAAGAACGTAGAAAGAAAGAAAGAAAAAAAGAACGAAAGAAAGGAAGAGGACAAAATACATACTGATGATAGGAAATGACAGAAGCATAAACAAAACTAACTAAATATATAAATAAGAAGAGAAAGAAGACAGACAGGGTTGCAGGTGCTTAGGGCAACATAAAGGAGGTTGAAGTAAAAAAAAAAAAAAATAATAATAATAATAATAATACAACGTAAAATAATTTTCGATTTTCAGAGAAGTAGCTGAAAGTCTAAACAAATGAATAAATAGATAAAAAGATAAAGATAATGGCATTCTCAGTGACATGGCATGAGAATGACATGGCATTATCACCAACAAGAATGCCTCTAAAAAAAACGAATTAGATAAACAACAAAAAACTGAAATAAACGAAAAAAAGACCTAACAAATATATAATTTCCAAATCAAATAAGAAAAAAAAAGTCGACGGAAACAATCTAACGGATTAAAATAAGAAAACGGAGCATAGGCCTACCTGGGAGGTACGTCTGC